CTGTGGGAGGAAACCGGAGTACCCAGAGAAAACCCACGCATGCACGGAGAGAACATGCAAACTCCACCCAGAAAGGCCCCTGGACCGGGGTTTGAACCAAGGACCTGCTCGCTGAGAGGCAGCAGCTCTACCAGTTGCGCCACCGTGCTGCCCCCACCTGGATTTAACTAAATAAAATAGGTACGAGCCTCCTATTGGATAATTACTGCATGGGCGATTATCTTTCAGCTGGCAACAAGTTATTTAACCCCAACTGGTGCAATGAGTTGTTTCTCATTTCTTAAACAATCAGGTCGAAAGACACATTGCGTGGTCGTGGAAAAGATGTCAGTCTGTTTGAGAAGAGTCAAATCATTGGCATCAAGCAGAGAAAACATCTAAGGAGAACCTGTGTAGTATTTATTTAGCATCCAGATCCACACTCCATTCCAGTAGATGGCGGTAATGCACATCTAAACGTTGCTTGCCAACCACCATAAAAAAAAGAAGAACATCTAAGGAGATTGCAGAAACTACTTACATTGGGTTAAGTGTCCAACGCATTATTAAAAACTGGAAGGATAGTGGGGACCCATCGTCTTAGAGGAAGAAATGTGGCCGGAAAAAAAAAATCCTGAATGATCGTGATTGGCGATCTCTTAAACGTTTGGTGAAATCAAATGGAAGACTAACAACAGTAGCACTCAGGGCTGTGTTTAACAGTGAAAGTAAGAGCTTTTCACGCACAATGTGAAGGGAACTCAAGGGATTGGGACTGAACAGCAGTGTAGCCTGAAGAAAACCACTAATCAGGCTAATTGGAAAAAAATGCTTCAGTTTGCTAGGGAGCATAAAGATTGGACTCTAGAGCAATGGAAGAAGGTCATGTGGTCTGATGAGTCCAGGTTTACCCTGTTCCAGAGTGATGGGTGCATCAGGGTAAGAAGAGAGGCAGGTGAAGTGATGCACCCATCATGCCTAGTGCCGAGTCATCAATGCAAGATCTTGGTGAAAAATTAATGCAACACTGGATGGAAATAGATCTTGTGACATTGCAGAAGTTTATCGAAACAATGCCACAGTGAATGCACGCCTTGATCAAAGCTAAAGGCAATCCACCGAAATATTAGTGTGACCTTTGTTTTTTCTTTTTTTTTTTGGTGGTGACTTTTTTTTTTTGGCCAGGCAGTGTACATTGTGCTCCAGTTCTCCCTTAAAATTTTCTCCAAGACTGCAGTGACTTAAATTTTTAACTCTTCACCAACGATCATTCGTAAAAGACCAAGAATTTCTTGATTCATGTGGTCCAGCTGTCCAAAAAAATTTCCAAGGATTTGGAACAAAGTACAAACAATTCCCTTACTTTAAATAAAAATATTCATTCATTCAACCTTTATTTAGACATGTTTTAGTCAATATCAGAATAGGTCAGACAGCTCATGTGGTGGTGAAGAATGCTATGTTGCTTAAACACCCCTGAAACATTGAAAACCACAGGATTTTACACAGTTTGGTTTTAAGTCTCCTTGATTTTCATGACTATTTCCAGAACGTTCAGCTCCAATTTTCTAAAGGGCAAGTAATATGATAGGATTGTTAAAAACTTATGAAACATTGTTGTAAATACTGTTAATGCGTGGCATGACCCCAAACCTCACAATACATATTTGACTTATAGAATTCACTAGTGTTGTGTTTAAGACCACCTAACCCAAGACCAGAGTGTACCGAGACAAGACCAAGACTTTTAGGGTCTGA